CCGAAGCCGGCGCCGCCCCAAAATTCTGCTGCTGAATCAATTCCCACCTTTTTCGTTACTTTTACGAAAATTTCCCAATTTAAAACTTTACAAGGGGCGAAGTGTAAAAAAAACCTGAGCCTGATGAAAATGCTGCTGCTGCTGCTGATTCCCCGCAGCCCGCTGCATCGATCCAGAGAAACCGTTGAACAAACCATCCCCTCCCTGTAAAATTTTTTGTTTAAAAATTACAAAAGAAGGACAAAACATAAAATCTTGCAAATTGTAAAAAAAAAAAAAAAAGAGGAAACTGTTAGGGTTCTCTACAGTGGAATTGGGAGATTTGAAGGAAGAAGCGTCGACATCTCCGCGCCTGCCCAACTCAGCGGCAGAGGAATCAGGCCGGACTCAGCTCAGCCGCCGCATCGCGACGATGCTCCCCATAGAATTCACGATCATCTGCCTGCTGCTGCTGATGTCCAGCTGGAACATTCGCGGGCGTCTTCGCGCCGGGGAGGTCCGTCCGTTCCCCGCTGATCCTGGTGCTGTCGCACCTCGACGCGAGAAGAGTGGACTTCGTCGTAAGGAGCAGCTCTCCGCGGCGGCGGCGGAGGCGAGGGTTGGAGCCGTCGAGATCGGGCCACGTGGAGGGGAGGGAGGAGAGCATCTGATCGAGGAAGTCGTCGTGGACGTGGAGGCTAGGGTTAGGGTTAGGGTTTTGGATCTGGTTGTCCTGGAGAGTGGCGCCGTTGAGGGCGGAGGCCATGGCTTGCATTTCTCTGCTGCAGGGCTGCATGGATACTAGGGTTAGTTGTTAGGGTTTTGAGATTTACTGAGAAGAGAGCGGATTGTGAGGGAGCTTGAAGGGAAGAGGGGGCATTTTGTATCGTTGAGTTATTTATAGGATTTATGTGTGTTAAATTGTGTGAGCAAAAGTTACCTTTGAGTATCGAAATGTGATTTGTTTACTGTGTGACAAGTTTTCATCTAGACGCCTGTAAAGATGTTTATTTATTAAGACAGCCCAAGTTGGTATATTGATTAACTAGCCTTTATTAACCTCTTTAGATCAAAAGCTTTGCTAAATTTTGTATTTTACAAAATGTGCATCAGTTTTGCTGGGCTTTTGTTATATTATTAGAACCCAAAATGCGATTAACTCTATACTAGACCCCCAACCCCGTATAGTTCCAACTTAGACCTCCGAATCTATTAAGTTGTTTTATGTATGACCCCCCAAATTATGTGTTAATTAAGTTGTTTTAAGTATCACCCTACAAATGTATGGATTAAGGATTTTATCATAACATCATATAGAAAATGGGTGGTTTATACCATTCATGGACGATTAGAGAGGTTAATTAATCTGGGGATTGCAACTCTTCCAATCTCTATCGTGCAGATCACCGCGCTCCTATGAGGATGGTGCTGATAGGGTTCCTACTGCAAATTATATATTAAGTTGTACTAAAATATTAGACTCGTTTTAAATAAATGCATGACGCAAGGGTGTGATTTAGAAATGTGCAGACGTTGGGGTCTAATGTAGAATTGACAAAGATGTTAAGGTCTAACATGAGAAAAACCAAACTTTTGTAAGATGATGATAAGAAATGTTTGACAATAATTGTCACTGAATTGATTTATCAATACAATAGTAATAATTTAGATTAAAAGTCAAATCATCAAAAGCTTGTAAGAAAAAGCATATATGAACTTACTTTTTTAGAATAAATAAGGGTCATCTCTTTCTTTTTATCTTCTTTCATGAACTAATGAGTTGTTTATTATAAGATTCCCTTCTTTTCTAAACAAAACATAGATGCAGTCTAACAGGTAGGAACATTTTTACACCCTCTTCTTTTTTTTTTCCTTTTTTCAAATGAGAAATTCATAGCTGAAAACCGTATAAAATAGTGATAATTAAAAGTAATAGCAAATAAATATCATTTAAAATATGAAAGAAATTGAATTTGCAGTCGAATAACATCAAAAATAGAAACATTTTTGAACCAATGAGCTACTCATATTAGTAGATAGTTGTCTCAAAATCCTTTTTATTGACGTAGTTCTCATGGTCTTGTGTTCTATTTCGGTTTGAGCCATAAAAAAGAGGGAAAATCCCTCTTAATTATTATATACATACATTAAACATGTAGATATGAAATAGAACAATATAAATAATTAGTAATACGAATATTATATTACATCCTAGAAGAAATGTTGGAGTTATAACTTAAAAACTTGGGTTTGTAGAGGAAAAGAGGAAAAGTTTAGTCCCACATAGGAAATGGAATAGGAAGGAAGAGTCTTTATAAGCCTTCTCTTTCTCTCCTATGCCTAGAAGAAAACAAAAGGTTATGCTCCACACCACACACGCGCGCGCCGGCCGGGACGGGCTCGGGCTCGGGTCGGGTCGCGCGCGCACACGACCTGCGGACACGAATGAAGCTCCGGACTGAGGGGCTCTTAATCTGCTACATTTTTATTTTTGAATAATTAAAATGTAATATTTATTTTTGAACAATTAACATGTGATAAACGTTTTGTAACGGTTAAGAGAATTAAATTTTGAAACGGTAATATTCATGGGATTTAAATCAGAATCAAAACGGAAAATAGTTTTTATGAGGATTTAATTCGGTAATTAGAAACGTTCATTCTTAACCTCTATATAAACAGCAAGCTGCGAGGGTAGAAAACACAGTGTGAAAAACACAAAATTCTCCTCTTCCTTCTCAACTCTGTTCTTCTTATTACACTTGCTTGCTATTACAACTTGCTGGTTCCCTGAAAGTCTAGAATAGTTCGCAAAGCCTTCTTGAAGCTCGTGCCGACGAGAAGGAGGTCGCCTGACCGAGGGTCGTTGTATCTCCGGGGACTTTTGCCGCGTAGCCCTGTACGAGAGGGGGCAATTAGTTTCTTGGGACAGTGCTTGCACGCCTCGACCATCAGGCTATATTCTAAACTCAGTTTAATTTTATATCTATTTTCAATCATTATCTAATTCTGTTAAAACTGCATTTTGTGCTAATTACACTCTAAACAGATTATATTCCCAACAATCCAAGAAACTAATTTTGCTGTTTAGAATATTATCATGATTAGCATTCTGCTTTTTATGTTAATGTTGTCTGTAATTCTTAAAAACGAAATATTACACTGCCGAGGGTCGTTGTATCTCCGGGGACTTTTGCCGCGTAGCCCTGTACGAGAGGGGGTAATTAGTTTCTTGAGACAGTGCTTGCACGCCTCGACCATCAGGCTATATTCTAAATTCAGTTTAATTTTATATCTATTTTCAATCATTATCTAATTCTGTTAAAACTGCATTTTGTGCTAATTACACTCTAAACAGATTATATTCCCAACAATAAATACCTAGGACAATTCTTCACCGCCTCAACATATATACATTGTATACATCTGACATACGTAGAAGTAAACGTTGAGGGGCTTTGGTCAAGACACAAGGCATGCCCTTGCTGAGTTGTTTGTGTGACTTCAACGTGGTTCGATTGTTCCAAGACAACTAGCCTCTAGCCTGTTGTACTAAATGTTTGCATGTTCTATAAACATTGGTTCTATCATTTGATTTAGAGTGCTGTTACAGGGACCCAAAAATAGGGGACCCTGAGTGGGACATGTGAGGTATCGCCTCCCTATCTTAACAGTGCATCATGGGACATGGAGGCGACACCTCACCTGTTCCACTTAGGTTCCCTGAGACATTTTTCTTTAATTTATAGGCATGAAAAAAATTAAGTAATTTCACTAAAAGAGAGAGGACGGGGAGTGTTATTGTTAACATTCAAAACAAACCGCGAGATGGTAGAGTTTCACGATTCTCACCAATTTTGCCCGTTTGGATAATGAAAGTATTGGAAGTAAGAAGTAGGTTATGGAAGTAACTTTTAAAATTATGAAATAGGAAGTAGCGGAAATAACATTTTTTTGTTTGTTTCATATAATTTTAGAAGTAATGGAAGTAGAACTTCTTCCTCCTCATTTATTTTTTTTGTTTGGATAATATTTAAAAATATTACTAGGAAGTAATTAATACATGTTGCTTCCATTTTATTCTTGTTTAGATTGTCATTGAAATATAAATAGAGTTGTTGTTGTCATCAATTGAAGAGACTAATATTCATAGTTGATTTTCTTGATATATAATAAAATTATTCTTTCCATTTCGCATCAAGGGGTATGACACGGAGATATAAATTATTGGTGTCGAAGATCATGAAGCAGCACGCACAACATTGTTTTTTCTCCTTCTTTTCTCTTGGTTGCTAATTTAGTATCTTGGTCAAGCTGCACCAATGGCCAATGGGATCATTTTCGCTTGTGTATTATGCACTTCTGATCTTGGTCCACAACTCAAGAGGGATCATTCATGCCTAACAGAACGAAACAACAAGAAAAACAATCACCAGCGTTTTTTTTCGGTGGACCCCATCCTATATAACTTCCACCGTATTTCAGAGCTTTGATGACGGAAAAAAATTAAGGAAATAGAGATGACACGTAGGCGCCACATCATTATTTAAGGAAGTAGCGGAAGTAAATTTTTAAGAGAAACAAACATATATTTTTGTCTAGAAGTAGCAGAAGTAGCCTCTATTTCCTCTACTTCTGCTATTTTACAGTTACTTCCGTGCAAACAAACGCTGATATGAATTTAACAAAACAGAAAATATGTTAATCACCTGATATGAATTTAACAAAAAAATAACAGCCACCTAACGTAAAGTACTAAAGTTCTTTTTTGTGAGACATTGGAATATCAAACGTGGGAAAATAAACTTTACGAATCAAAGTTTTTAAAAAAAAAGGTAAAAGTTTGAAATGCTCACCAAGGAAGTCTGGACTTTTGCAAATTTAGTTTTTCCTACTTGAATAAGCGTACATATTTGCAATTTATTAGAAGAGGAGGTGGCTTGAAGGAAAATATCCAAATTACATGTGGCCCACGCGGTCCGGTCTTTTTCCATCTCCATCGGGACCAAAGTAGGGGACAAATCACATCCGTCAGATTACGAGATCATGTGGTCTAATAAATTTCTTTTTCATTTTCAAACTTTATTTTGGGGACCTCATCATAACAATAACAATCATTGAGGGTGTTGACTAAATTTTTTCCGCTGTGACAGGAAGTGGAAACAACTCAGGAGTCAGACTTGGCGTTTTCCGCGGCGATTAAAGCGGGATGCGGAATAATTTCGGTAGTTAAATTAGGTGAAATTTTTAGCGGACGTTGATCAGATAAGATCAAGGAGGCTAAATGTCAAGAAACCTCCTTAGCTTTGGATGAGTATCAGATGAACCCCTCATAATTTTTAGAATATCAGAAAATCTCTCTTAAGTTTAGGGTTTTTTAAAGAAAACCCTGTTTAGCATTAAGATTTTTTTCTTCAAAATCCTCCTAAAAGTGCAAACTGCAATTTTTACTTGCAAACTTATCTAATTGTGTAATTTTATCCACCCATGTAAAAATTACGATTAACTCTAATAGTGAGGGTTTCCTACCTTCATAGTGAATTCTTAAAATGAGGTTCTCTGATAAGTACCCCTAAACTTAAAAGGAATTATCTGATATTTTGAAAAAATAAGGTGGGTGGGGTGGGGATGGGTGGTTTTTTTGATATTTTACCTAGGATCAAATAATTATTAAATGGGGTTTTTCAATATTAGTCCCCAAATTTTTTTGATATTGTGCAATTAAACCTTCAAATCCAAATGCTTTTAAATCAATCCCCCAAATTTAAAGTGTTTTGACATTCGTCTTACTAATCATTTGTGTGTGTGTGTAATACATGATGTCATGTATTGATCCCTTATTTTCTATGCTATATTCTATATATATTTTGAGTCTTAAATCTCAAATCAAGTTTTGAAATCGAACGTTCAAGTAGTAGAA